TCCCTATTGTTAATGATGCCTGTACCTGACAAGAACATACAGACATGATGGAAAAATGTGATTATATAATAATAATAATAATGAAATAGGAAGCTAAAGAAGAAGAAAAAAAATATTATTATTTCAATATTTTGTCTCTCACAATAATTTGTCCTGAACCATACAAAACCAACCTGACAGTTTGCCCCTGTTATCAAGCAGCTCTTCTCCTCAAGCTAGCGTGCAGCTAGCTAGCGCAAAATGAAAAGGTTTATTATTCAGTGGGAATATTACATTGCTGAAAACATGTTTGGTAATAAACATCTTATGCTTACCAGAGGTAATAACTATTGAGTAGTGAATAAAAGTAAGAAAATACATTTGAAAATGTATTTTGTAGTATTGTCTGGGCAAAGGGGGACTTGACATGAAAAAGTTTGGGAACAGCTAATTTAGTGCATTTACTGTTACAGTACAGGATTCTTGATGACATGAGCATCATTGATATAATATGTTACTATTTCATATAGAAAGAAATTGTATCATGCTGAAAGACTTACAAGAAAAATATTGAGAATTTTTTTTTGAACTACTTCCTAAACGCCCTAAAAACGACACGAATATCTTTCACACTGGAAATTACAGAAGCTCAATGAAAAGAATCTCCTTCGCTGCACTTACTGCCGCATATGAAGTATTTCTGACTGCCGTTGTGTGAATGGAAATATTTCTATTGACTACGGTGAAATCGTGGCAGAATCTACGCACAAATGAGCGGCGCCGTACCAGGATCTTCCATAATCTGTGCTGTATCGTACACCACCCCTGATCTTTTTAATGGTGTCATCTGTTGGTGCAGTGAAGCCCGCTGCTGTCAAAGACTTACGGCCCCTCTGCACTGAATTGCATCCTGTTGTGCTGTCAAGAACCCGTCCTCATGAAACTGTGACGTTCTGGCGCAATAAAAGAATATATTTAGCAGGTTGCCACTGTTCGTCTCTCTTATCGGTCTGCAGACAAAAAAAAAATCAATTTGGTCTCGCTTGTCCCCCGAGGTTGCTCCATCATTTCGCTGTCACCATTGTCCTGTATTTATCACAACTCCCTTTGCAATCATACTCCTACACTTTTCCTACTCAAATTTTTTTCCACTAGCGCCCTCCCGTTTCGTGCGAAACGTGAAAATGGGGTGACATTGATTTGATACGGTTCAAGTTTTGGTCTCAAGGCAGCATTTTTCCCTGAGACAGCAATAGGGAAGGAAATATCTTAGTTAGTTCACTATTCAATCTGACGCCAACAATACAACGGAATACTTATTTAGAAAAATGATTATATAACATATACATTTATTTTTAACAGGTTTATAGAACATCCATTACTGTGGAACTTTTCCTTCTTTTAAGAGATATACGGTAGGTACTTATGAACAGTATGAAAGTTCAGACTTATGGCGAGAATCACATTGGGAATGAAACATCGATGTGGGAGGGCGCCCTCTATGTGTATAAAGCATGAAGTTTGTCACTGTGACACAGCAAATGTGTCACAAAATTTGACCTCTGCCTTCAAGCCCTCAAGCTGAGCACCCTGGGGAACAGTGTGTAGGGAGAGTACACCTCAGCTGGTGGATTCGAACCTGCGACCTTCCAGGCACAAGTCCCATTCCATAACCACCAGGCAATTGATACCCCCTTTACATACTATGTTGTGGTACTAGTTAAAAAAATTAAAGTTTAAACTACCAGATCTATAATCAATGGTATTTTCAGCACTATCTGACGCAATAAGCAACATTTTTTTGATTCAAATGAATTTTGCCTGACGCGTGAATCCATGAATGGATGTTTACGTGACCGCAAAGAACCAAATATTCATTTAACTTCTGTAATCGTCTGTTCATTTTTCATCTGTTTTTTTTACTACATTCACAGATTAGTGCAGGCTCGACGGACTTTAACAGCTACAGTATTTTATTCTACGTTTTTGGCCCTGAAGCTGTCATCTGGTCTTTTGTGGACTGCCTACGGTGTTCCCCTGTAGCAGGACTAGTGCAGTGATAATCCAAAAAAAAAAAAAAAAAATGACATAACGCAATGCATTCTGCATATCTAACTGGGACGGAGTGTATCCACCAGTGTTACAGCTGTGTCACACACACAGATGAACTCCCCAGGGGGGAGATGTCAATCTCTTAAAGTGGAGTAAATGTTTGTGCCTTAATCCATTTTCCTGCTTTTTAGTGATAATTGCAGACTACAATACTCGGTGTATTAAGATGGAACTGTTGATTATGTCCAGTCTGCTCTTCACAGCTCAGTGAATGGGTCAGGTTCTGTATGTTTTTGGCTTCAGGGCCCCGTGTCACATCAGCTGTTATAACTGAGATATTCCTACACTGCAAGTACTACATTATACTATTCAGAAATTTGGTTTTAGGTCTTGTTCTGTCCAATTGACTTTTTGTCTTGTAGCTGTGTATGGCTGTGGTCACAGTACATTCAACATGACCAACAAATATTCGAAGTAATATTTTGCGTTAATGGACATTTTCGGAAATTTTGAATTATACATTACATAAGATGCATGTATCAGTCCAGACCCAGCCAGTTTTTAATAAGGACTGACTTGTTATTTGGTCCAGATGTGGGCCGGTGTCCATACAGGAGTTGCAGATACTGGTACACTAGACTAGAGTGCCCCCTAGAGGCTGTCAGTTTGAAAATAACAAACATGTGAAATTACATATTTTAATATACTATAAGTCGCACTTGAGTATAAGTCGCAAAAAGTCAAAGGATAGAAAAAAGTCCGACTTATAGTCCAGAAAATACCATATAGGCATTTCTTTACCAAAACAAAACAACAACTTTTTCCTCTAACCAACGTTACCGCACATCACCTAAATCTCATTTTATAATAAATATTTTTAGTGATCTGCTTTTTTGAGGAATAATATTTTTTTCCAATTTAATTCATTATTTTAAAATGTCTCATTGTCCTTCACATTAAAGCGTCTGGCTGGTCCCTGTTCTCTCAGTGCTTATGAATTCAACACTGACTGTAGAGGTGCTCAGCATGAAAGCGTTTATTTCGTGCAGTTTAAGTCTGACGTCTAGTGCACCACTGGCAGACAGTGATTCTAACCAGGTGTTGCGTCACTGCCGTTTAATTGGTCCTGCATTTTCTGAACGGGTGACAGATTCCAATAATCTCCCCATCATCACATTAGGCAGTATCGTCATTACATCGTGACTGAGCGTCTGTGTCACGCGACGACGGACGATAATGTACATTGTTTTATGGATGAGCTACTCTGAGTTCACGTTAGCAGATTCATCAACTAACTGAACTAGGCCGAGACATAATTACCCGTGCATATAAGCAGAGCGTTCTTTAAAGGGTTCAAATTCACACATGACGCGTCCTGGGATGGATTTGCATTTCACTGTCATAAAGGGACGCACACTCTGCCACGACAGCGTTAGGCTGTAAACATTCGGCTGCACACGTAGACAATTACATCATTTGTTCCATGCATAAGTTTTATTGAGCAGAGCCAGCTCACCGTGTGACGTACGCTTATAAAGTAATAGTGGCTGGAAAAAGAATATACAAAAGATAAAGACAGACACCCTGTCGCCAGTGGAAAAGGGGGGGAGCACACGAAATACATGCCTCATTTCCTGATAGGTAATGGTTGCCATAGCAACAGAACCTGGGAGTTTCCTTAGGGCGGCTGGTCAATGGTAGGGCATCATGAGACAAGGATGGGGTGAAAAGAAAAAAAGAAAAAAAGATGGCAGTTCAAAGCATTTGCTGCCTCTGCTGTCGACCCTGTTTAAGACTCACTAACACCTCGGAGGCTTCGACCTCCCACCCGAGACCCCGAGGACCACCGCACTTCATACATTTATACATGTCATACATTTTCACTACAAACAGCGAGAGTGAAAATCAAAAATGAAGTCAATAGTGCTAACACTGATTCACAGGGCGGCGTGTTCCCAAAGGCCAATCTGAGTACTTACTTAGACCACAGACCAATCACAATAGATACACATTTCACACACTGCTTGGTCACTAATAACAACCAAGAACTGTTTGTTTCAACCACACGTGCCCTCCATGTCGTACCATGTCCTACCATGTTCTGTCCTTTAGTCTCCTTCTACCCATTAGCTTGTATTAAACTGCCACCAGACACAATATGGAACTGTTGATAACCTGGGCTACAAGCCTTCAGTGTCTGAAGAGCTAAAAGCTCTACCGTAATGTATATGTTACCATGACACCATAATATTGTTATAACCTCCATAGTGTTATGTGCTGGTTCAAATGAATGTAAAATGTTCAAATTGTCCAAACGAGATATTTTGATGAGATATTGGGAGGTTCCATGGTGTAGCGGTTATCAAGCCTGCTTTACAGGCAAAAGGTCCTGAGATTAAGGCCCAACGGAACCCCATACATAATCATTATTTATGAATATATTTTTGGCATATTTATTCAGTGTATCATAATCTGCTTTTGTCACAAAATCATAAACAAGCGACCAAGTAAATGTCAGCCTTCCTGTTGCTAGGGTCACGTCCCCAGTCTTAAAACCTCGCCTGGAGCAAAGATCTTTTTTCCATATTGTGTTGCTCTGCTCCTCTTTGCCACTCATATTTTTGACTGGATTACTGTTCTTTTTTTATTTATTATCACATTTCACGAGTCACTTATTCGTGTCTCTTATTAAATAGTATAACTTGCAGGGATGTGTCGGAGACACAAATCAGATTTCCAGCAATGTGGAAATCAGATTGGAGTGTGTGACATCTGGGATGTGGTGGCAAGCCTGGATAATTACATCTTTGAAAAGTTAACAACAATATCGACTGGAGAGTGCTGATAATGTGGCGATTGGGTGGAATCTGATTCCAGGGAGTTGTAAGACTTGTTGCTTAAACTGGGTGGAAAGTTATATCATGTATCGCTGTGTGTGAGTGTGTGTGTGTGTGTCTGTGAAGACTCACTCTTGACAGTAGCTGTCCTGGTGCAGTTGTAGAGAATAGCCAGCTCTCCAAACACCTTCCCAGGCCCCATGGTGCAGAGTTTCAGGCTCTCCTTTGTCACCTCCACCTTTCCATCTGAAAAAAAAAAACAGACAGAAGGGACACTTTATCAAGCACCACGTCATTCAGATTGTCCATTTGTCCTCCTGCCTGATTGGTCAAGTGTACTATTCCTCTGCTAGATTCACTCTGCTGAAGTAAACAATGTGGAGTGGATGATTGGTGTCTTGAGGGGTTCTGACTAATTTTCAGGGGTACCAGACCACACTGCTCTGGGCTCACTGGGCTGGGAATTAAATAGAATTTTATTCCAATGTGGATTTGGATTTTTAAAGCCCTACAGGTCTGCTGCCATGACAACAGAAAACTGCACTTCAAAACCTTCAAAATGTTTTTGGTCAGCCATTATCAAAATCCATTATTATTATTTTTAGTAGTAGTAATAGTAGTTGTAGTAATAGTAGTAGTAGTAGCAACAGTAAAAGTAGTAGTAGTAGAAGTAGCAATAGTAGTAGTAGTAGTAGCAATAGTAATAATACTACATTAATATAATTACTACTACCACTACTACTGCTACTAAGCAGTAGTAGTAATAGTAGTACTAGTTGTAGTAGTATTGTCATTGCTTTTTTTATTGTTATTATTTTATGATCTTACAGAGGAACAACTTACTTAAATTCTTTATATTAAATGGTGATAATATAATATTTGTCAACATTTTAAAAAAAAAATCAATAAATGACTATTAAAATAATTCATAGTTAACATGCGCAAAATAAAAGGAACAAAAGCCAAAGAATAATAGTTCCGCTGACTCCCTTGCAGAACTGATGTCTGCCGCCACTGTGTTTACACAAGCCTCAAGGATGTATGCTTTACTGGAAACCCGGCATTCCAGCTTGAGCTGAACTCTGAATCACTGAGGGCACAGTCCCAAAGAAAACAGTTCTATTTGATTCTCGGAGAGAGTGATGAAACATAGCAGGAGGAGAAGAGCAGGTGAGACATTCACAGAGGAAACGCTCTGTCCCCATGTCACCCATATATACTGTACATCTGTCTGCTGCTCTACCATCTCATTATTTACTGTCTCCTTCAAGTGCAGGTTAGGACTATTAACACCCAGCAGGGGGCTGTACACTGTACACTGTGTGTTTGATCTGCTTCCGTGCTGTTTATGTACTGACTCTATTTAACGACATGTTATTAAGAAGGGTCTGGAACGCATGTTCGGGTTCCATTTTAAACCTAAATAAAATGTCTCTACAGGAAGTGGTATGAAAAATGTGGTTTTTAGAATGTATGCTAAACATAAACAACGTAAGTAACTCTTCAAGTCACAAAAAATACAGCACAGCTATTTAAACTTTTTTTTAGATTTTTTAAAAATACTTCATCTGTTGAGGTTTTAAAACATTAAGTTAAAGCAACAAAGTAATGATGAGTGAAAACACTCACATATACTTCACCAATAGGCTTTTTGTTATCACCAGTTGTACAATATATTTTTTATTAAAAGAATCTAGTCTCAGTCCAGTTGCAGTTTTTTATAAAAAAAAAAGAATCTAGTCTCAGTCCAGTTGCACGAAGTCTAAATTTTACACCGTTTGCAGATAACCAGGTCCGACTAATCAGTGAACTTTAGGCAGCGTTCAGTCGATGACGCTAATCATTAGCTGTCAAAATGTCCGTGCTCTTATCATCATCTAATAAATTGGGGTGGTTTGGAGCAGTACCACTGAAGCAGAGCACTGGAGTTTGTTTTTTTTTCCAGTAAAGAGAAAAACCTCAAACCAAACTGTAGGCTACATTTTCAACAGTTTGTTTTCAGGAGAATGAGATCCTCTGAGATGACATTAGTTCAAACACACTTGTTTTACTGTATATTAAGAACGACAAGGAGGCAATCTTACATCAAATGGATAAAGGAAACAAACCATTTTTTTGTGTTCAAGTGCGGGGCATGATGATATGTGGTTACGGAAAGGGTAAAAAAAAGAACACTGGGCTGACTGTGCAGCAGAGGACGACGTGTGACTTACTGGAGATTTCTCACTGACAGGTTCACGTAAGGCAGTAAGGTGCTAGGGGCTTCTAATAGAATATGGCACGCTGGACATAAGTGTACCACTACTAACGTTAATGCTAACAGTTGTTTAGCGCTTCTCATTCGTTAACACACAGCGACGCATTGTCACGCCTAAAGTTCAGCTTTGCTTCCATAAATTCCATCCTTTCAATGTATATATATATATATATATATATAGACACAATAATTTGCCTTTTTTCACACACGTACACTGAGCTGTAATAAGGCAATTTAAATACACATCTCTACTGGTACTTTGAATTTAAATATATATGGAAATATACTGTTTACGTCAAATTCAAATAACGCAGAGTCGACGTTCCCACTTGATAGATGGTGGTAACACTTCACAGACAAACTGTGTTTCTCTTGGACAACTGACTTAGTGGTTCTGAGGAAATGTCTGGGAATTAATGTAATAGTGCTTCAACCGTGTTGTTTCCCTGATCCCTGTGATATTTTACCAGAAGCTGAATCAGCTTCACCACCCGCAACCCACGATAAGGCTCATATTCCCTTTTATGCCTAATAAGGCCAGTATACTTATTTTTAAAAATTGCACCTATGAGTTGAATTTTAAAACATTGACACATTGATTTCTCTTTCTATAAGCATGTGCTGCTTAAGTCATGCCTTAATACAGCACAGGTAAATCCTGCTGTATAGAAAGCCTCGTCACAGCAGCAGGATACTGCGTTGTCTAAAGGCCAATTTAAAAATGTGACAAGACGGAGAGCAGATCATTTTAAAAATATCTTCCAGAATCACTTGTGCAATGTTATTTACCTCCAGGGTTTTGTGGTTTTTTTTTAATTGTTAATGTTGTACACCATGCCTTCTGCCCCTCAGGTGGTGTGACTATATTAAGAGCTGATCATTTGAATGCACACAGCAGTGCGCGCCACCATCGCAAGGCATCAGGACAGACCTTTGAGCAGACTTCCCTCTGGCTCAAGATCAGATGCTATTCTGGCTGCATTCCAAATCCAAAAGCTGTGATCGTTTTGGTTGACTTTTTTTTCACGTTGGTGCTGAAGAGTCCACAAAGATGATTCAATTAAGGGCTCCATTCACAACGCATTTAATATTTTCCCTTTATTTTTTTCCCTACCTTCAGCGTAACCCCTGCATTGTATTGCATCTAAAACCAATGCATTTGAAATACTGCTGCCCCACTTCAATTTAAAAACTCGGGACCAGTGTGATAGTTTAAAACAGTAAGAAAATTAGATTTATGAAAATGGCATTGTTCTTGCCACGCAACCACTTGCTGACTTATTCCACAATCCTGCTTGGGCCCAAAACACTTTAACTTTAATATTGCTTTCTGAAACAAACACAGATTAGGATCCACGCACCGTTGTTAAAGCTAAGCAGCACCGTTCTTGGAATTAGTTTTCTTTTAGATCCCACTAATGTAACAAGACACAGCGATGGAGTCAGAGATGGGATTTTCTCCCTTTCTTCCTCAGACAGACTAAGTGACAATGCTGCATTTTAGCAGCTGAGCTGATGGGGTTTCGGCTGATAACAGCCAATCAGAACGCAAATGTGGGTAAGCGTGTCATTAGTTTTAGAAAGGTCTTCCTTTCTGTTGGTAAAAGGGTGGAAATGTTTACTGGTTGAATATAAACTCAACAAAAGGCAGAACTTCTTCCAAAGAAGAAGAAACAAAGGGTCGGAGTTAGCAGGATTAGCTTGTTGTGCTAAATAACACAAACCTGAAAAAGAATGTGTTTATTTACATTAATTAGAGTGAAGATTCGAGGCAGAATGTTCAGCTTGGTGGATAGTGTTTAGAAGTAATGTTGTTAAGATTCGCAACAGTTTTCCGGAGATTGTTGAAGTTATGCCGGCTAGTGTAGCGTCGAGCTAAGTGATTAGCATCTTTCTCAAATGGGACCTTCAACAGGTGCACCTCCTTTACAAATCTACATAATTGTTTATCCATTATGTGATTAACGTACAGTAATACAACTGCACTGAACTTATTGACCAAGGTGTTACAACTCTGGTTACAGCGCCACCTACTATGCTTTTATCAGTAAGAATTGTTAGATTACATTACTCAATTAATGTATTGAATTATAAAGGTTACTAATTTTTTTATGTTTTGCTCTATAAATATAGTGGACTGTGGAACAGGATGCTGTTACGTACTTCCTGCCCTTAGTTCATTCATAGATTTTATGTGCTTTAAGAAGCACAAGCTGGTCATCAAGGAACAGGATGTGGGAGAGTTAGTATCCCACTGAGGATTGACGATCACATCCTGAAGGGCCTTGCTCTTCCATCAAGGGTCAGATTACTCAATACTGGCCTCATACACGAGTCTTTCAGAGACAGACTCACAGTGACTCAAGGAGAACATGTTCTCATCCTGCCAGTGAAGGTTTTTACTTGTTGCCAACTCAAGTCAACACTTTAGCTTTAAGGCTGCCAAAACATGTCTGGATGGATTGAGACATACAGACCTTGCTCAATGATTGTGGGTTGTGAGTTCAACATGGACCAAAACGGACACAGCAAATAGCAGGGTTTAATAATTACCATGTGTAATTTGATTTTTGTGAAAGCGTTGTTTGAAAGCTACAAGGTCTAAAGTTGCACCTCATTTAAACTTCTGACTTAAAAACAGCCTTTTGGAAACCGGTAATTATTCTATAAAAAAAAAAATTCAGATTGAAGTATAAAAGGAAACACAGTAGATAAAGATAATGGAGATATAGAGATAATAGAGTGTACGCCCCCCAAAGTGTCGGGATTTATATGAGTGTACGCCCCCCAAAGTGTCGGGATTGAACATTTACTGTATGTATCCTATAGTACACACATTTCGACTATTTGTGAGGCCTCGGTTTACTGGTTATTTAACTTGTGATTATTTTAGGTGGCTGAACCTTCACTGTTAGATGACAGCTTCTCCTCCATCTGTGTTCTCTGGCTAAAACATGTCCATTATCAATCTGAAAAGACTTTCCTATGT